CAGTGATGGTGGTGACGGTGATGGTGGTGTTGGTGATTACAGTGGTGTGACAGTGATGGTGGTGATGAAGATGATGATAGTAACAAAGGTTGATGATGGTGATGTGATGGTGATGGTGGTGATGGTGATGGTGGTGATGGCAATGATGCTCGCGATGAAGGAGGCTGCCCATGATGATGGTCATTCTGCCTGTCCATCTGCAGAGCCCCTGCCCTCCTACTCAGCCTGTTTGTGGCCACTCCATCCCAGCTGAGCATCTGGGTCCTGCTCCCTGCACTGGAGCAGAGAAGCATCGTAGCCATCCTGTGTGTGTGAAGGCGGGGTTGTACTGTACTTCTCCAACACGAGATGACTCTGGCCACAGGGTTGGTCAGCACAGACGCCCACCAGATCCCGGGTCCCCCGGTCCAGCTGGCCTTGTCTCCCATCTCCTGGACTGCAAGGCTCTGAGAAGGATGTGGTTGGGTAGAATGGGGACCTGCAAGTGGGGAGCTGAACCCCAAACCCTGGGCATTCATTGAAGGGGACTTGCCACCGAGGAGCCAGACATGGCAGGAAGGAGCCTGCATGGGACAACAGCAGGAGCCACTGCCCCCAGGCTGCAGGATCCAGGGAGTTCAGAGGGACCCAGGCACCAGCTGCAGAGTCCATCCCCCAGCTACTCAGGACACACGCAGTCCCAGCAGTGAGGTGTGATAACACATGTGAAATGTCTCCCTGGGAAGCTCAGGAGAGACTCAGTGCCCAGGACCTGAGTCACAGGGGCAGCCAGGAAGAACCAGGTGATAGGTCAAGAAACAAAAAACTAAACAAATTTAAGAAGCTTGAAATCATGCTGAGTACCCTTTCCCAGCACAACAGAATGAAACTACAAATCAACAACAAAAGGAAAACTGAAAACTTCACAGATACGTGAAATTAACAACACATTCTGCCGGTCCGGGGACCCAGACCCACCTGAGGGAAGGTGCCTGGGCCCACGCACCACCGCAGCGCCAGGAGGCGACCCGGCGCGGGGCGGGGCGGGCACGCAGAGCCGGCGGCCAGCATGGCCCCGCCCCGGGCCCGCCC